TGAAATAAATAAATAAAAGATTGTTTAAAAATTTAAAAAAGAGGGCTGGTGAGATGGCTCAGTGGTCTAAAGCACCTACTTAGAACAAGCTAAACTAAGCAAAACACAGGGACCACGGTTCAATCCCCCAGCACCACATGCCAGCCCGCCCCGCCCCCTGGTGGGCTGAGCTGGCCACACACACACAAAATAAATAAATATTAAAATAAATAAATAAATAAATAAATAAAAATAAAAATTTAAAAAAGAAAATAGAATGCCCTGTTCATGGTAGGAAGAACTAATATGGTGAAAATGGCCATACTTCCAATATTGATATACAGATTTAATGCAATTCTGACCCAAATTACAACAGCATATCTCACAGAACTAGAGAAGACAATCCTGAAATTCATTTGGAGCCAGAAGAGACCTAGAATAGCAATGGCAATTCTGAACAACAAATGCAAGGCAAGGGGCATCACATTTCCGGACTTAAAATTATACTACAGGGGCTGGGAAGATGGCTCAGTGGAATAAGCGCTTCCCTGGCAAACGCAAGGGCCTGAGTTCAATCCCCGGTTCCGCCAAAAAATAAAATAATACTACAAAGCTACTGTGCAAAAACAAAACAAAGCAAAACAAAACAAAACAGGCCTGGGAGATAGCTCAGCAGCATAAGCACCTGTCTGGCAAACACAAGATCCTGAGTTCAATCCCAGGTATGAAACACACACACACACACACACACACACACACACACACACACACCATGGTACTGGAACACACACCCCCACGCCAAAAAAAACCCCCTTGATCCATGGATCAATGGGACAGATTAGAAGATGCAGAAACAACTCCAGGCATACTTAACCACCTTATTATCCTTGGCAAAGATACCCAATACCTTCATTGGATAAAAGACAGCCTCTTTAATAAATGGTGCTGTTAAACCTGACTTTTTACATCCCAGAGATTAAAACTGAACATCTTTTACCATGCACTAAAAATGGAAATGGGTTAAAGATCTAAATATTAAAACAGAAACACTAAATCTTCTGGGAGATAGAACTCTTGTAGATATTGGTGTAGAACTTTATGAACAAAGCCCAAATCACGCAGGAAATAAACACAAAATATCAACTCCTGAAATCTCATCTTGTTAAAAAGATTTTGTACAGTAAGAGAAATTGCCAAGAGTAAAGAGACAACCCACAATGTGGGAAAAAATGTTTGCCAGGTGTTCCTCAGACAAAGGATTATTATCAAGAATATAAAAAAATCAGACCCTTCCCTGCAAATTTAAAGACCCAATCAAAAAGTGGGCATCTGGAGGCCTGGTCAGAGAGCTCAGTGGACTGAAGCACCTGCTTAGGCAGAGCACAACAGCTGGGTTTGATGCCCAGCATGCCATGCAGTGCCCACCCCCAGGGTGCACTGAGTTGGAGACTGGGACTGGACGTGGGGTGTCGCATGTGGGTAATTCCAGTGCTTGTGAGGCTTAAAACAGGAGAATGACTATGAGTCCAATCTACATAGTGAGACCCTGTAGATCCTGTACTAAATACATTTTTTAAAAAGGCATCTGAAATGAATACATACTTTTCAAGCAAAGAAGTAGAAAACACAATAAATATATGAAAAACATCCAACATCACTGATCATTCAAGAGATGCAAATTAAAACAATACTAAGATTTTATCTCACCCTGGAAAGAAGAGATTTTATCAAGAAATCAATACTAAATGCTGGTGGGGCTGTAGGGGAAAATGAACCCTTCTCCACTGTTGTTGGGAATTTAAACTGGTGCAGTTACTGTGGAAAGCAGTGTGGTGAGTCCTCAAAAAACTAGAATTAGAGGTTCTGTCCAACCCTGTATTCCTCTTCTTGGTATCTTCCAGAAAGAATTAAAAGCATCATATCATAGTGATACATGCATTCCTACGTTTTTAGCAGCACAGTTTGTCATACTTTGAGAACAACCCAAATGCCTATCAATTGATGAATGGCTAAAGATGTGGGGTTTTTTTTTTTAACTACAATGGCCATAAAGAAGGACAAACTTGAGCCATGTCTAGCTAAATGGATATTCACCTTGACACCATACTATTAAGTGAAATAAACGAGACACACAGCTGCAAGTACTGAATTGTTTCTCTAGTGTGAGAGACTGAGAGTGTAAATAAGACCAAAATTTGTAATAGATAGTTGGGAAATTGGAAGAAAATAGTCAAATGGAAAGGGACATTAGGGATGGGAGAGGAAGAAAGAAAGGAAGAGAAAAGAAAAAATGATGAGAAAAAAAGGAAAATGAAAACAAAGCTTTTGTAAATAAGGAGGGAAAGGATGGTTGAAAGGAAGGTAGAGAAATGGGAGAAAAAACGAATCAAGTTGTGCAGATGTGACTTCCCTATGACGAATGTGATCATTATGTATACCTAAAGTGTGCCAATAAATGTAACTTTTTAAAAAACAGTGTGTGGGTCGGCGAGATAGCTCAGCTGTCTAAAATGCCTGCTTAA